CCAAGTCCCTTGTCAAATCACCCTGCTCTTCTCCCTGGGATCCCCTATCTGCCTTGTCTCTGCTATCAAACTGACGGGGTCAAGTGAGCAGAGGGGCAGTGAGTGGAGGACACTCTGGGGTCCGAACCTTGGGCCAGAAGCTTGGATTTGTGAGCTATTTCCTGGGGGTCTTGGACAAGTCACTTAGTCACAATTCCATACGTCTGGTTGAGGTTGATATCCACCTAAATCTCTGCTTCCACAGCGCCAGAATTCTCAGGCACACAGCTGCTGAGTTAGACAATTCTCCAGCCCTCCTTGGTTAGGTTTGGTCACGGGACTGCATTTCTACCAAAGGAATATTAGAGGTCTCAGGGGCCACTTCTGGCTCAGGGATTTTTTGGGTGCTCTTCCTTCCTGTTCTCTTTCTCCTACCCTCTTGACTGGAACCAGGTGTGGTAATGATTCAGCTGTGGCCATAGGGAGGATGCTAATGCCCTAGGGGATGGCAGGCGAACAAGAGGGAAGGGTCTGAAGTGGTGGTCCTCGTTCCACCCCCAGCAGTATGAACGTACAGCCAATGTCGGGAGTGCTGGTTGAATCACGCTGGGTCTTACGTGTTCAAGCTGAAGAAGCAGGGATTTATTTCAAGAGCCAGAGGGAGCTTCTGGGGGGTTTCACAGAAGGAGGGGCATAATCATATTTTTCTTTCTCCAGAAAATTACTCTATCCTGATGGTGAAGAAGAAAGACTAGGGTTAGAGAAACTGGTCCAGAAACAATGATTCTCCTGAGAAAGGGATTCAGTGAGTCAGAATGGCTGGGGAGGAGAGGACAGATCTGAGGCCCAGTGCATGATGGGCTTGGTGTGGGGGATGGAGAAGAGGTGGGAGGACGAAGATAATCCCCTGAACACACAAGTCCGAATTCCTAAGATGGTTCCAGCTAGGGAGACAGACTTGTGAACAGCAGCAGAGAAAAAACTGACAGACTCTCCTGGGAAGAAGGGTAGACAGCAAGAAGAAAACAGGGACTAGAACAGAGTCACAGGGAACCAGAGGTGCCCTTGCCAAGGAGACTGAGAAAAGCTGTGCAGAGACGGAACAGGAAATCATTGCATGCGTTGTCAAGGTGTAAGGATATGACCAAGGTAAGGGTGCACGCAGGAGCACCAATTCTGCTGAGATCTGTCCCAGGTGGCCCTGATGGTGAAGACGATGAAAACCAGTGGCGATGCTGGAGAATGGTGAGGGCAGGCAGTCCTAACAGGACAACCATTCCTTGTCTTCTCCATGTTGGGCAAACATGTGTTTATTCATTTATTCTGTAAAGACATTATTTATTAAACACGGACTGGGCTGGAGGCAGTGTTTGGGGCTGCGGATAACATGGTGAGGTCCTCACTTGCTACGAGGGGGCAGGTCTTCCCACCCATGTCACACGGCCACAATGGTTGTGATGGAAAGCATGCCAGGCCCTTTGGGACACAGCATGACCAAATCTTCTAAGGACAGGGAAGGAGTAGGTAAGAAAGGGCTTGGAAACAAGGAAGAGAAGCAAGGCCTACCGACATGGGTGTCACTGGGGCTGTTTATTTCAGAGCTCAGGTCTTAGCTGTAACAGAGCATGGTACTTCTGGACCCCCTCAGAGCTTAGTGGAGGTCACATGACTAGCCCTGGCCAATGAGTGGTAAGCAGAAGTGGGCATGTCACTTGTGGGCCAGAGCATTCAATGGTCAGTACCAGAGCCTGCTGATGTGTCTTCGTCCTTTGGTACAGCAGGCAAGGCTGGCTGCTCGAGGTACTTAAGTGACTCCTCCTCAATGCACACTCTTGACAGACCAGAAGCACCAGCGTGAAAGAAACTTCTGTTGTTTGAGTCTCAGTTTTCCCTGTTATTACAGCATAACCTAGCCCCGTGGTTCTGAAGTGTGGTCCCTGGACCAGCTGTATCAGCTTCACGGGATGTGCTGGAAATGCAAGTTTTCAAGCCCCAGTTTACTATAGTAGAAACTCTGGGCTGGTAGTCAGCGATGGCACTGGATTGCCAGCAAACCTTCCACTGGAGACCGAAACATGTTCAAGGCTGAGAACCACTGCCTACCCAGCACAGACAGATATAGTCGTCTTACAGAGTAGAAAGGATGAGAACTCACACAGAAGGTCATTCTGGCGAACTGTAAAAATCCAGGGAAGATGCTAATTAAGCAATGAGGCTCATGTGTCATAGAAAAGGATTTTTAAGAGAAAAATATTGTGCCCATTTACCCATGGACTGAACCATTCTATCAAAATGGCTAAAACTGGCCACACAGTCTACTACTGCATCAAGTCAGAAGAAAACATACAGCTGCAGAAATAGACACTCCAAGTCCAAAGGCATTGAAGCTAGCTACCAAGATCCACCCAGGAATGCACTTTCCTTTTGCGCCCATGGCCTTGCTCATTTAGAAAATGCTCCTAATTGTCTGAATCTGAAAGGCACTTGAGACTCAATTCTGTCCTCTACAGGGTTAGTCATTAGTGCTGCAGCCTAAGCTGTTGGGTAATGGACACTATTTACATGAAGCAAAAGGTATAATTTCAAGTTGCTTTTTGTTTGTTTTTCTTCTGGTACCAGGAATTGAATTCACAACCTTGCTCTTGCCAGGCAGGCGCTATGCCACTGAGCTAAATCCCCAGCCCCTTCAAGTTGCTTTTTAAACTGCGAAATAAAAGAAATCCATTTGTGCATGTGAAATTACTTCAAAGGTTCTAACTATTAACTGAAAGCAAGTGAAAAATGTCAAAGAGAAGAAATTCTATCAGGAGCTGGCTAAATGTTTCCAGGCAAATACCTGATGATGCTTTCGACGTGCTTTGGATTCAAAAATACCTATTTTCACCAGTGCTAGGTGAGCTCCATGAACAGAGTTTTAAGAAAATATTAAATTCCAAAAAAAGGATGCCATTTTCCTTGTTGGTACTACTTGAACCAATCTGACCCAAACACTGTCTTGTGAACAGCGCAACTGCATAGTATCGATTTTACATTTTTCCCTTTGCTTAAATTTGATGCTAAGGTCCTTTTTAAGCAGCTTTGCAAGTGACGTATCTAACAGCATTTCATGGTCTTCTATTTGTTATTGATGACTGCATCTGTGTACAACCCAGTTAATAAGAAGGAAATCTGCAAATGTGGAGAAAAGTGCCATGTCAGGGGCATACTTGGTAGAGGACACCACACTAGAGGGTTTCACTCAATCCGAGGCATCTCTGCAGACAGAAGCAGAACCCTGAGCTCTTCTATAGGAGGCCAATGCTGGCCTCTTCCTTCTCACACTGTCTAGGGATTTCCTTTGCAATTAGTTTCGTGTTCATGCCTTCAGTATCTTTGTTGGTCTTGAAACAAAGCTGCTGGAAATGATTAGAGAACCTACTCCTTGCCCTCAAGGCACCTCTAACCTGTGTCTCTATGTGAGGCAAACACAAGCAAAACCAACCCTGTTTATTCAGTCCAGAGGGAAGCTTGCAGGTGATAGCGGGCTAGAAGCATTGAGACCGGTTCAAAAAGGAAACTCTTCTCACACTTGAATGTGCACACAGATCTCCAGGGGACCTTGTTTAAAATGCACATCTTGGTCCGCTAGGTCTGGGTAGAACTGTAGAGCTTGCATGTCTCACAAGCTCCTAGGCAATGCCCATGCTCCTGCAGCCACAGAGTGGCACAGTGAGCGTGCCATTCTGCAGAACAGTGACTTTAGAACCCTCCTTAACAGCATTTATCTAAGGGGCTGGCTCCTATTTGATTTAGGGTTCCTTGAAAGCAGAGTCTAGACATTCTCTTCTTGTTCTCCCTGGCTGGCACTTGGCACGGGGCCTGTACGTGGTGGGTATCTATTTAATTAAACAGACTTGGCCTCGTTCCAAAAAGGATTTTAAGTGGACTTAACCCCTAGTATACCCTAAATGGGCACGTGATAAGTTGGCCAGGGGAGGAAGTGAGGCCTGGTGGTCCTTCCGGATAAAGGTCCCTTCCACCTGTCTGTACCTGGATTACACCTCCCGTTCTCCTTGGGAAATTTTCCTCCTGCCCCATTTTTAAAGCGGGTTACATTAGAGGGCCGATGTGAAACAAGGAAGAAAAATAAAACAAAACCAGAAAGCCCTGCAAAGCTCTAAGGCCCCGGGAACGTCAAGAGCTCAACTCTCTCGGTGGCAGAGCTGCAGAACTCACTCTGCCTTGTCCCAGCGTTTTGCAGGTCGGTGTCGCGCGTCCACGACCCACGTCCCCCGCCAGCCCCGGGAGCCTCGCAGAAGCAGATCGCGGCGGGCGCGGGCGCCTCTAGGCTTGGTGCAGCCTGTTAGCTTTGCGCGCGAGTAATTAACCTTCTCAGGCATCTCCCGCCTCCAGGGGTGGTGGTGGTGGCCTGGGGTCACCCTGGGGGTGGTGGGGAATCCGGACAGGAGCTACTGCTCTGTAGAAACCCCTGTTCCGAAGGTCCCCGGCGGTTCCATAACCTGTTTTCGCTGCGGCAGCCTCGGACGATAAAGAAAGGACTCATCGGGCTTCATAGGGGAGGAGGGGGAGAAAGGAGAGAGGGAAGGGGATTACAGTATATTGGTCAGTCAGCCGGGGCTCGCGGGCAAGGGCGGCGCGCGCCGGCGAGAGCGCCCTAGGGGGAGAGTACACGTGCTGGGCGGGAGCGGGGGAGGCGGGCGTGGGGGAGGAGGGGGAGGCGAGCCGCTAGCGGGAGGCGCCACGGCCTTGCAGACGCCAGCGCCGGCAGCCGAAGAGTCGGGGAGAAAGTTCCCGGGGCGAGCTCGCCCCCCGAGAAGGCCGACTTGGAGGCCGCTCCCCGCGAGAGGGTCGCCGGTCCCTTCGCGCCACGCGCGCTCGGTCGCCAGGGCTCGGCTAGCAAGGAAGCGGCCAGGCGTAGGGCGGCAGCGGCGGCCGCGGCTAAACTTGGAGGCGGCGGCGGAGGAGGAGCAGGAGGAGGATGCTGCGAGTGGGCGCGGCGGCGCGGGGCGCGGGGGCGCACTGAGCGCTCCCGCGGGCTGGGCGGAGCGGGCAGGTAGCGGCTCCAGCGCCCGGACTGCGCCAAGCCTGCAAACCAGGGCCGCCAGCGCCACCGTGCCGGCGACGCCTCCTCGCCACGGAGTCATGGTGCGCGGAGCGCGCACGCCGCGCGCGGGACTCTGAGCTCCGACTGCGCGGGGCGCCTCCACCTCCCCTGTCTCTTCGGGAGACCTCGCTCCCCGCCGACCTCGCTCGCGGGCCATGAAGCTTCGGCCCGGAACCTCTTGCCTCTGAGCTGCGCAGCGCCCGTTCCAGCTCCAGCGCCGCTTGGCCGCAGGCAGCGCTCCGGCCCCTGAAGCTCTCCATCCTCTCCCAGGGACGGTACCCGGCGCTGAGATGGCGCTCCGCGGGACTCCTCGGCGGCGCAAAGTTCGCGGGCGGAGAGAGATGCTGCCGCAGCAAATTGGCTTCGTGTGCGCGGTGCTGGCCCTGGTGTATTGTGCGTCCGGCCTCTTCGGCAGCTTGGGTAGGTGCCGGCACCGGCCCCCTCGGCTCCGGGTGTTGGTGGGGGTGGGGGGGAGGGCTTGAGCCGGGAAGCCGTGGGACAGCTCCCGCCCGGTCCTTGTCAGGTGGGTCCCGAGCGTCTCTCCAGTCCCCTCCCTGCCGGTAGGTAGGGCGCACCCGGGATTGCTGATGGACACTGAGCTGCGGCGAGCTGCGCGCGGCCTCAGGGGGCTCAGGACGCGGCTGTAGGTGCAGGTTACTAAGAGGGAAGCCTGCACAGCCCGGGTGCTTGGAGTGCCGGGAGCCGGGTAGCGCCGCGTCCGGCGCGGAGTGTGTGTGGGGTCTCTTGCTCTGAGTGGTCTGCGTTCCTATTCTGTAGAGCGGCAAGGGCTGTGTTTGGAGTCCCTTGAAGACCCGGACTCACAGGCTGGAAACTGGCCCTGGGTCTCGGCTCTCCCCTTTCCCTTTCCTGCCTGGTCCAAAGGGGTGCCTTGGGTGTTCTGAGGTGTCCTCCTCGAGCCTTACACGGGCTAGACAGTATAGTCTGTACCTGCGGGAGGTTGCTGCCACGTTTTGGCATTGCTTAACGCATGGGGATTAAGAGCAACTCCCCTTAATCCCCAGGGAAGGCGAGGGCTGATGTGTGCCCTGGCTGTGCACACTCCCTCCTCCGAGAAGAGGCAGGGTCTTGGAGTCCCCTAGGATATGCACCTTTCAGCAGGCACGGAGAAGAAACTTATCCAATGTCGGGGGGGGGGTGCTTCCACAAGTAACCTTCAGGGGACATTCATTGCCCCTACACTCTCATTTTGAGTGGGCTGCTGTGAATCTTTATTTTTTGCAGTGTAAAAAAACAAAAGAAATGCCGGTGGAGGAACAGCCATGGAGGAACAGCAGATGGTTCTATCTTGAGCAGATAGAAAGGCCCTTAGCATCTAGGGACCATTAAGAGAGATTTACAACCATGTGTAAACATCAAGTGGAAATGGATTAAGCACCCCCACCCCACAAAAAAGAAACTTTTTTTCAAAGCTCGAACTTTGTGATTTGAGGATAGAGAATTAAAATTTGGCTCTTCCAAAAGAAACCCAGAAAGTTTGTTTTTAACATCTTAATATCTGCTGCTGTGCAGTTGGGCAAGTTAGTGCTTTTCGTCAGTTCCACATCAGAAATAACAAAACGCTTAGAGGTTCTTGGGCATCGACCTTCTAGAAGAGGTACCATTACCCTCCTGAAAGTGTGTGAGGGAAATGAATACTGTAGCAGTCTAGAGTGAGGGTCATCTTTATTTTCTGGAGCAGGAATTATCTTCAGGAATTTAACTGCCTTTGGTGACAGACACCCTCACCTTCTCCCATGTCACTCCGTGTGGCCCTTGAGCAGCAGTGTCAGCATCCCTGAGAGCTTGTTAGCCCTGAAAGCATATTAGCTCCAAGTCCCACCCAAGACCTGCTGGATCTGAATCTGCATTTGACCGAGATCCCCTGGTGTTCTGTGCATACATTCAAGTGGGAGAAGCCCTGAGCCCTTTTGCATCAACTGTGCCTACCTGGTTGCTAACTTACCATCTGCTTGTGGTTCCTCGACAGCAGGGGCCACCTGAGTGTGTTTACTGAAAGAGAACTTAATAGTCACCTAACTAAACCCTAGGAGGGGCTGAGACCAGCTCAGTCTTACCCAAGGGCAGATGATATACTGAGCCATCTGAGACTAGACACGGTGAATTAGATCCAAGTGGAGAGTGCTGCAAGTAAGCAGGTGGTAGCATACTTCGAATCATTGTATGGCTTCCCTACAGGTGGCTCTAAACAGCCAAACAGGGCTGTTGCTGACATAGCTAGATACACATACATATGTAAGGTCATTGAGAACGCAAGGATGGCATTGACTAATGATGCCTCTGACTTATTTTCCAATCCAGGGCCCAAAACAGCTTCTGCTAGTAAATATACTCTACAAGACACGTGGAGAAATAGGAAGTTGATGGCACCGGTGAATGGAACTCATACGGCTAAGAACTGCACAGATCCTGGTAAGCAATAGATTCTTCTCCCCACCCCACCCGCTTACCCACCCCCCAGGCTTTGGGCTGGCCTGGAGATGGTGTTTATGGGGACAGCCCCAGCTAGAGCCAGGAGAGGAGGCTTTAGGAAAGCGAGTGAGGTCTTGAGAGGTAACTGCAGACGTTCATCAGCCAAGCTGCTAAATAACGTAAGTGCTTACTCAACAACTAAGGTCACCCTGGAGTTTGACGTCTTTGTCCTGTGTTCTCACCATGCTCCTAAGACGCTGTGTTTCCTTGCTCTCTTCATTTTGTTGGTTTGCCCGGCGTCTTTGTTTTCTTCCCCTTTTGCTCACTGTACACGATTGATGGAGCCCTGGGGGCAGCAAATGCAGCTGCTCTGGCAGTGGCGCTTTGGGGTGGCTTTCCAGGGTCAGAGCACACTGGGGCAGCTGCAGGGGGACACTGGGATGTGCAGCCTTTCTCTGGAACAATGGCCCCCAAGGCGCCCTGGTGCCCCAGGAGATGGTGTCCACCCTGTTCCACTTCACAAGTCTCTTAGTAATCACTCGTGGACATCTTGTCTGTTCCCCCGCCATATGCAGGCTCCGCTTAAATAAGTGAAGAAAGTTCTCGGGAGGAGAAAGTATCCACAGGCAGCCAAGCCCCCGCCACGGCTCGTCTAGGCATTAAGTCTGAGTCTAACACTAGGGGTCTTTATGAGGAGGACCCAATGGGAGATGAGGAGGATCCAAAGCAATGATGAGATTGTATTATAAACAGCCTTTTCACCGCATTGCTGGCAAATCACATACTCTTTTGGGGGCTCTGTTTTGTCTTCTGTGAAATGGGTAGAAGAGTAGTTGCCCATTTTACAGGAAGGAAAGTGTGGGGAGGGACATAGATTGCTCAAAGCACAAAAGTGGTGAAGCTGGCTTTGGAACCAGATGTCTCATTCATTTGTTCGTTCATTCATTTGTTTGCTCGTTCTTGGAGCTTATGAAGGCTGAGGGCTGAGGTCATCACTCAGAGCTGTTGGATGTCTCCGGCACCATCGACTTCCCTCCCCAGAGGCCTTCCAAGAAAGACATTTGGGACAGGGAGAAGGAGGACCACCACTTGCAGAAATGTGCAGGGACTCCCGGGATTCTGCTCCTGAGTGGCCCCATCCATCCTAGTGACCCCACAGGTGGTGGTGTCCTTGCTGTCCCTAACCTCACCCAGCACATCTTCTTTCCTGTCCAGAGAGGTGAATGTACAGGCTACCCTGACCTTGTCATGGTAAACAAGTGTAAGGCTGGAGATGCTAGTGTGGGGGCCCATCCTGCCACCCCAGGCACCTGAAATGCTACCATTAGTGTCATCCATGTGGGAAGACATAGCTGCTCTGGAGAAGGGATCAGTTAGGGAAATTTTGGCCCTGTTCTAGGGCTGCCTGTCTCCTCTTCTGTCCCCTGAGTAACTTCTGTCCCATGAACCTGATTGTGTGGTCTGAGACTGGACCCCATTTCTAATGCTAGAGTTCTCCCGTGTTCCTTCGTGGCCTCTGTATTTCCGGTATCCGGTGTGATCAAAAGTGTCCGACGGACGTCTAACACAGTCTGTACTATTTGGCAAGAAGACCTGACCTTGTCTCTCTTATGGAGAAGGAAGTGAAGGGAAATTGGCAGTGTCTTTAGCAATGACTAACATTTGCATTATGCTTTGTGTTGACTGTTTCTGGAATAGAGCTGGGCTCACAGAAAGGACTCAGTAAACAGGGTCAAATGAGAAAGGAAGTTCATTTTGCTATATCACCTACTTCACTTCTTACTGTGTTTTGAAAAGGTGGAGACATAAAGCTCAGAAGTTTAGTACTTCCTGAGATCTCTTGGGCAGGAGGAGCCTCCTTGCTTACCTGCCATACCTTCCCACTCCACAGCACCAGCTCCTGGTCTCCTTCCTTCCCTTCCAGCCTCCCCATCCCTGGGAGGTGAGACTGTCTGCCCCCTTTGCATTTCACACCGGAGCAGGCACCTGCGCTATGTGTCCAGCCCATGAGCAGGATGGGTTGGAAAATCTGAGCAGGTGCCAGACGCTGCCTCTGTCAGCAAGGAGCTTCCAACAGAATAGAGCAGACAAGATCTGGACAGGGTTTCTTGACCTGAGGAAAACAAGGTGATGAAGAAGGACTGCCAGTTCCCAGTCAGCAGCCTCGTAGGAGGCACTTCCGGTGCCTGGAGGAGGGGGAGCTTGCCCTATGGAGTTCTGGGTCTGATGTAGTGGGCGTGGACCTGATCTTCCCGCATTGGAACACAACCAATTCAGCTACCCTCATTTAGGGGAGGTCTCTGTTACTGCAACTCAGCTTAGCAGAAAAAAAAAAAAAAAAAATTACTGGCTTACTAACTGGAAGTATGGGCTCAAAGGTTAAGAAAGTGGTGTCCATGACTCAGTTTCTCTCTGTTGCTGAATTTGGTTGTATTTCAGTGAAGGAAGATTAAGTCCAAGGTCCAACGTTAGGTCCTCCCAGACTCAAAAATGCTGGGAAAGAGGGTGCCTGGGGCTGAGCTACTCTGCAGGGTCCGATTGGGTTGCATTGTCTTGGTCCACATGACCACTCTAAGCCAACTGCTCAGGGCCACAGGAGTGCAGGATCCTGGGCTGACTTACACTTGGGTTGCAGGGTCCACCTCTGGAGAGAGGGTGAAGCCTCCTCTCCCTGCTCCAGAACTCCGCCAGGGAGTGGGTTACTGGGCCACTGGGGTGCAAGTACTCAGTTCAGGGAAGTGGGTTACTGGGCAGCTGGGGTGCGGGTACCATTCAGTGAGACTCCCATCCTGCGGTTGCTGCTGTAATAAAGGTGGGCCAAGGCTCCAAGTTCCAGTTTCAGGGCCATGACAGAAGGGGGCATCCCTTGGGTGCTTCCCTTCTATCCAGCTGCTGGACGCTTTCCTGGTCTCTGGTCTCTGGAGGTTCCTATCTTGTGTCCATCTCCACCGGCTGGAGGCTCCCTGTTCTGCTCCTTCACATAAATTCCTTAAGGATGTGGAAAGTCAGGGATTTTTGAGCGTCTGACCGTGTCTATGCCCCAGCTCCAGGCAGTGTCCAGCAAATGCTAGCACACATCTTCCTAAGAACCTCCAAGGCAGGGCCTGGTCTCACTCCCTGTGCCTCCTGGGGTCTCTTCTTGGCTTGAGAGAGGACTAACTTCATCTCCTCAAACCACAAATGTGGTCCTGGTCTCTCTGGAAAACTCCGTGTTAAATTCGGACTCTTCGTTCTGCTTGAGTCCTTTCCAAGACCTCAGTGGTGATTTTGATCTCATTGTTTGCGTTTCAGCTTACGTGTCCTGTCACCCACCCATGGCCCAGTGATGACCTGTACCACTACCTAAAATAATTTAGTTCCGCCAGCCCTTGAGGGCTATCTGCTCTATGCCTAGAAGAGTCCTGGTCACACATGAAAATGGCTCAAGAGCTTTATAGATAAGTGTTTAAATGCTTAACCCCCGAATGGGTTTGGGGTGGTCCCAGGAACTATACTTTCTAGGAGTGCCATAGACAATCCCAAGGGGAAGCCAGAGCTGATGTTTACCAGGCTAGAGCCCCACTGCGCAGTGTGGTAGCCTGCCAGGAGTCTGGGTCTTGGACTCATACCCATCACCTACTGGATTAGAACCTGCAACCTAACAAGGTCCCTAGGTGACTCCTGTGTACCCCAAAACGCAAGAGTCCCTGGGTAGAGTGTAGGGTGCAGCTCCGTGGCACAGCACTTACCTAGCATGTGTGGAGCTCTGCGTTTGATCCCCGGAACTGGAAAAAAAAAAAAAAAGGAATGTTTAACACAGGTTAAGTCTCGGTTTAAAGTAGCAATTTTCCTGAAAACCAGTTTTTAAATTTTTTTGACGTAGGAAAGCTAAAAATACTGCATCATTTTGACCAGTAATACCTGTGAAAAAGCCATAATTAGTTTTTCCTCAGAGGTGTGAAGGCATGACCTGGGTTAAGGTTAGGCCTTAGATACTTATTTGCATGGTCAGTGCAGAGCAAGCAATAAATTAGGGAGGTGTATAGGTGTATGAAACAGGAATGAGTAACACTGGGTCGGTCATTAGGAATGATCTTAGCTTGGGCTTTAACAGACTTTTGTTTCTCACAGTCCTGGACACTGGTAAGTCCAAGGCCAAAGTGCCCACAGGTGGTGGTGTCTAGTGAATTCCTAGCTTGCAGGTGGTCTGTGTGCTCACATGGTGGAGACGGATAGAGCACAAGCTCTCTGGTCTTTTCCTCCTATCATAAGGGCACTAATCCAACCATGAGACCCCTTCCTCATGACCTTATTTAACCTCTGGTATCCCCCCAAAGGCTCCCCCTGCAATACCAGCACATTGGCAGTTAGGGTTTCAACCTCTGAATTTTAGGGTAACACACACGTTCAGGCCATTAGCAGAGCCAATAAGTTTCCACTCATCTCTGGGTGAGTGCACCTGGAGTGTTTGTATCCAGCTGAGGATAGAAGCTGGGGCATCAAAACCTGGTCTGTAGGCGAGACACCTGGGGAATCTGGAGGGTGCAGATGCCTGGGCTCATCCCTGACTCATGAAATCAGACCCAGTGACATTTGGAGCTTCTGAGGGTCAGAAGCTCTATGTAGATCTCCCACAGTGGCTTCCTGCTTGTCACTGCCACATCCCCGCAGCTTTCCCTCGTCACCCATTCCAAAGGAGCCATCTAAGTCACTGGTCCTCAAGGCATCTTGTTCCAGCTCCTTGCTGATATCAGTTTTATCCATTGTTACACTGTTCACCTCCTCCAAGTAGAATATAAAAGGCAAATGCCCTACTTGCTTTGTAAAACCACAGTATGTCTGTCAGTCTTTCCATCTGTAAAACGGGGTGCAAGGGCAATAGCTACATCCCTATAGGTTAGAATTGCGTGAGTTGATACCCACCAGCACTTTAAACAGTGTCTGGCCCATAACATATGCTTAGACCCTAGGTTCTGTTTTCATTATTATTCTGTCATCAGTCTAATACTGATATAAAGCAT